CAGCCACTGCCGGTACTCTTCAGTTTCTTTCTGAAAGCTGTCCTTCTGATGAATTTCACGCAGCTGTTTCGCAAATTTCAACAGGACATAGATGTGCTCTGCATCGTGTTGATGCCACAACATTTCAAAGAGCATTCTGAAACCGGCAGGAGTGATAGGTGCATCAGGGTGCCAATGCTCCTCAAGTTTCCAGCCCAGCTTCTGCAACTGTGCCTGATGCTGTGGTTCTCGGTTGCTGTGATGAAGAAGCTGCTGCAGCCTGACTTCCATCTGATTCCAGAAGGCCAGACTACCTCTTTTCCAGATCCAAGGCTTGCTGGCATCATGCACTGGCCTGTTGACATATTGCAAACGAAGGCCTCTGCCGCAAGTCGGGTCTTCCAAATGTTGAAGTACATAGCGCTCAATGCGTTGGTACATGGAGCCCATCTGCTTGGTGAGGGGGTCCGTATGCTGTTGCAACCATTGGACATGGACCTCCTGAGGTTCGATCTGATGCCATGTCCTCTCTGGATTAATTAGGTTTGGGGCTGGTCCAAACTTTGTCAGCTGTTGTACTGCAATGGCCTCATACTGACCAACCAAGGTGTACTGAATCATTAACCATCCAGCTAACCTGTCCCTTCAGATCTGCGGCCAGATGGTTTGACACCAGCGCCCAGTCAAGCTCATTGCCTGTATTGCAGGTCTCCTCTCCCGTTGCACAAACTTGGAGTTGCATGTGTTGACCCAGCGTGGTTGCCATGAAGGTTTCCGGGGTGACGTTGAAATCCCCTGCAATGATCACTGGCTTCTGAACGCCTGTGACATAAGCAATCAGTCCAGCCCATAGCTCTGCATTGGTTGGCCCTTGAATGCCTTCACCGCACTTGAAATATGCTGCAATCAGGACCAACTCTATCCCTTCAAAAGACCAAATGACGCCAAACCATCCACATCCATCTATGATCTGCTTTTGGATGAAATGGACATGCTGGTCTTGTGGGAACAGCATCATAATGCCCCCGTTGGTTCCTCCCTTGACACTTTCAGCTGCGGCTGCCCCATGGCAACATATCCTCTGGCTGTCATCCATTGTAGGGTTTTGTTGTGATCATCCAACCCCAAGTGGGTCTCAACGGCCATAAAGAGAACACGATTCTTGCTGATCAGCCATTGTTTCACTTGTTGGCCCATATTTGTGAGGTTGGCAAACTCAAAACACAGCCCTTCTGTGTTTCTTCTTTTGGCCGGCTGTTCTGCCGATGATCTTGTTCGTTGGAGAGAATCATGCGCCAGCTGTCCTGGGAGGAGTCGCTCTGAGGGAACTGCCCACACTTGCACAATCTGTTGCTTTGTGGTCTCAGTGATTTGTGAGATCACTTTTGGGCACGCGCCATCATCAACCAACCAGCTCATCCCTCTGTACAGGAAAACGGCATAGAAATGGCCATGCTGGTGCTCGTTTCCCGAGTGGCAAAGGTAGCCTACCACCGAGAATTGGCTAGTCCTCGTGGTGTTGCCATCCAGAGTGTACGGCAGGTTGAAGATCGATGGAACTTGCAGAGGCCGGTGATGCTTGGTCCACTTTCCTTGCACCTTAGTGCACCGCCCAATTTGAGCAACCCAAAGCCCATGGCCATCAAAGACCTGCCCTTCTTGAGTGTTGGCCCACTCTGCTATTATGTGCTCCAGTTCATCCGAGCCCTGTTGATCCGGGAAAATCAAATGAACCGGAAATGCCTTTCGTTGATGAACTTGCTGTGCAAAATCAACTTGATGATAACCCACAATAACTTGGGTTGGGTTTGCCAATCCAACCAGTTCGGACAAAAAGTGAGAAGCATCATTCTGCTGTGCATCATCAAATTTGTCCCATAGTGGCTGGAGCCCTTGCAACTTCGTGAGATGAACCACCTCATCCTGTGCCAAGGCCTCGGTGACGGTCTGCTGCCAGAGTTTTGGCCCTTCCATGAAGCTGCCTGCCCAAGCCCATAATCTGAAGGCTGAATTTGGCATAACACCGATTGCGAGGGTTCCCCAACCGGCATTGAAGGTTCTGAACAACATAGTCCAGTGAACTCATAGGTCCACCAGTCTCCGTAAAAGGGATTGTGTCTTCGTCATCAGGCACCATTTCAACCTGTTGGTTGCCAGTGCCGCCCACAAAACCAGGGTAGATTCCCTGATCGTCCACAAGGTCCGCTTGGCCTTGTCTCCCCTGCTCAGCCATGGCATGGCTGAGGTTCCCCTGGCCTGAGCCAAAAACTTCACATCCATGAATTGCACCTCCAACCAACCCCAAGTTGAAGCTGCTGGTCATGGCTGTGGTCTCCCCTATTTGGTTTGAAACCACTCCACAGTGGTTACCCACACTTTCGCCTTTTTGCTGCGGTCTCGACGAGCTTGGTTGCTAAGTCTTGGATCTGGGCCGAAGTGGCCTGCAAACCCACACTAGCCATTGCCGTCACCAAAGCTTCAGGCGTCAAATCTTCTGCCTTTGTTTCAGCATCTTTTTGTTTCTCCTGCTCAAGCTGCTGGTTGTACTGCTGAGTGGTCGACTGCAGTTCCTTCTGGGCAACTTCAATCTTCCCTTGCAGCTCTTTGAGATCTTGCAACAACTGGGTATACTGGGCCTTCACTGAGTCAACCTTGGTTTGCAAGCTGTTCTTGCGTTCCGTCAGCTGCTTCAGGATGCCCACTGCCTGCTTGACCTTGGTCGCCATTGTGGGTTCCGGTTTGTCCGGCTCCACGATTTTCTCTACTGCTTCCTTCAGATCTGCCGGCAAACTCTGAAGGTGTTCCTTGATGAGAGACGGTAAGTCAGGCGTGACCGTCGTCTCCACCATCTGCAATCCCGTTGCCGTGCACTGATTGCGGAAGCTTTCTTTTGAAGTCCTTCTTCACTCCCTTTTCGGGCATTGCGCTTTCTGTGGCCTCCCTGGAGCCCTGAGGGGGCCTCTAAAAGTGCATGTTTGTATGTCTTCTTCGGCCATTGATGGCCCTTGCCACTATAGTTCCAGCCTGCCCACTGCACCCGGCGGGATTTCTTCAAGTCCTTCAAGGTGTCCTGTTGCCATCTCTCACCACACTGATTGCATGTCATTGTTGGCCTGCTGACTAATCTGTCCTCCCAGATCCAACTTGCTCTGCAGTGGGTGCAGACTCTATAGTGTCGCCTCATTGTGCGTATTCTCTGTCACGATCTGGCCTTTGTGCTCGTCAATGATGTGGCGACCGTGACGTTCTTCTTGGCACCGTCAGCCGCGGGCTGAGGTGCTTGATGCTGAAATGGCTTGAGCCATTGAGTATATATGCATATATATATATATATATGCATATATATATATATGCACATATAATCGGAGAAGCAGGGCACCCCAAGAGGGGGAGCATCTTGCAAAGGCGTTGCGATTTGGAGACCACCCCACTGCCGGTCTCCCAACAGGGCAAACGGCCCCGTTCGGTCTGAGACCACTTCGCTGGGGCCCAGGGGGTTCTGAGGTCTGTGGAGCCCAGGGCTTGGAGCTGAACACTTCCACTTCCTTCCCTGGATGTCCCAGCTCCGCCAGGTCGCTCTGCTGCATGGTAAATCCACACCCCCGCACCAGCTTTCGATTGCAAACGGCTCGAGATTTGTCTTCGGAGGTCGAGGCCAAGCTTGGAGTCAGGACATCTCCTCAGTGCTCTGCAGGTAGTGGGTGAACCAAAAAGAGAGAGGGAGCTGGAAGGGCGACTAAAGATTTAGACACTGAAAGGGTGGTTCACACACCCATTAACCTCTGATGGGCTATCACAAGACAGCCCTTGGGAAGTTCAGGTATAGTTGCGCTTTGGGGGGATAGAAACGGGGCCATCCGGTCTGTATGCTATTGGAACTGAGAACAGTTCCTGAATCTTATGACATGATATTGAAGATTGGACAACTCAGGCATCTAGGCAATTCTTGATATCGCTTCGGACTCCATACAACTCAAATGCTGAATCATTTGACTGTCTTAAGATAGGCAAACACGGTCCACACATAATATTTTTGGGCACTCTGTCTGAAATCGCAACACCCCAAGTGAAACTAGTCCTCTTCATCCCTATTACAGTCATGATTGTTTGGCTTGCTGCGCACAGAATTCGATGAGGTCCTGGGAAGAGCTCTCTGGGAAGCATGGCAAATAACGGTTCATAGGGACACTGCTCGGTTTCACCCCTATACGATAAAGAGACCCTTCCCCTTTCCATGTGTGGCCTCGAAACGGGAGTTCAGAACAAATGGAGGTTAAGAATGGACACAAGTTGAATTGTCCTAAGTCCGTTTCAGAAAAATCGGACAAAATCCTTGAACTGGCAGGAGAAGTGGCAAAGTAAGCCCTTCACCATCAAAGCCGGCCACTCGAATCTCGAGGATCTCATCCACGGCATTCACCATCGCAGGTCGCACAGATCGGTGGCACAAATGGAGGACGTTCAATCACTAAAACATTGCAAACATCCAAAGGTTGTCTAGTGAGAACTGGACTATTGTGTATATATATATATATATGTGTGATACACCGTATCTTATTTGATGTGATATAATTTAAATTGCTATTCCATGATATAACTATGATTTAACATTAAATCCAAACAATGCAGAAATCCAAATATCTTATGGTGATTCATGATCATGGACCAAGCTAATGTGGTCATGGCTTCAACTTGGTGGTGAGTTTAAAAGTCTGCCACTGACTAAACCACTGCAAGATCTTGCGACTCAATTGATGGGCAATGCTTCCATAAGGGTTCCCTAAGTTTGCAAGTACAGCACCTTTGTATATCTGTGCCACTAACATGGGGAAACCCTTTAGGGTCAATAAATTGGTGGTCTATGTGCCTTTTTTCACAGTGATGTTTCGAGGGTCCCCCACTTCAACACTCAAATGACACCCAAACCGGGCGATCCCAGTTTCTTCCTCAGGGGGATTCCTTCACTTCCAGGTGGGCCCAGTGGTTGGCGAGATTGGAACCACACTTGACTCAAAAAAGGCCTGGTGCCAAAGGCAGGCGCCAGGAATGACCTCACCAGCGCCACGGTTGGAACTGAGTGGCGTAACTGTCCGAGTCACTCCAAAAATAACAGGTTTTTCGGTGACGAGGGGTCCCGGATGGGGTTCACGAACTCACCGCTGGAGTGAAGCTGCCTCCAAACTACTAGCAATGGTCATGAAAGCTGAAAACTGCGACCCTTGTGCTCAGCAGTGGGGAAAGAAGTTAAAGAAGGAAAAACGAGTTCCAGAAACAAGCGGAGAAATGAAAGCACATGACCAAAAGAATTGTGCAATGTGTCCTCGTCCAATGGCTTTGCTGGTACAGGCATGACAAGTGGCTTTGCTACCAGAACATGGCACCCAATGTCCCAAAAACGTGGGCCTTCCGGAGGGTACTCCTCACGTAAAAACATGTAAAAACACCCGCACACTCATTGACTTGGGCGGATGGTTCTTTTTCTCGGAATTGTGAACCCCATCCGCCCAAATGAAGAGTGAGAAAAAACCATGTCAACCTATGACCAGCCTATCTGCTCTTCCAATCGTTTCGTCACCCAAGTGAAAGGAGTGGCCAGTAGGACCACTAGTAGCAAGAAGGGATGACTTTGTGCTGGTATTCTATTTGTCTTTCCAACCAATGAGACAATGTCTGGCCATTTTGTCCGTTGCGTCTGTTGCTTTAGATTCTTTCTTTACAGGCCTACCAACTCCAACCATTCCCAAAGTTCTGGGCATTCAACCTTTGTTGTCCTGTCCTTTTCAAGGCATGACATTCCGATTGTAAGGCACATCACCTCATCATCTGAGTCCACCTCATTCCATCTATGGTCTCTTCAGCCTCTTCCACCAAGCTGCGACAACGCCCCAAGCGGATCCACTCGTCGATCGGGAGGTCGTTGCCTTGGCAAAAAAATCAGTTCATTGCAGTAGGCTGAGCCCATCGATATATTGTAGGCTTGTTTTCACCTCCTCTGGGCCTGTCAGCTCATTACACTTTGACTCACTAACACGGAAGTGAAAAACACCTGCTTGTGTGGAGGACAGTAGTATCCCAGGGACCCATTTTCCACTTCCATGTTGGTGAGTCAGAGTGTATATATATTTACCCTAGGAGTCGACGACCATTTTAAAAATGGTCCTGAGGACAGCGACCATATTCTAGCGTGAACGACCATTTCCAGAGACATTTGGGAGTTTGCAGCTGCAGGGTTGGAGCTTCAGTGTCGCTTCAGAGTGAAGTTGAACGAACATGACCATGACTGCACGCAGGAAAGTTTCTTTGATGTTTTTTCAACCATGGTCGTTTGAGAGCGAAATTGATGGAAATGCATGCGTGTAATACATGCACTACATGTATAATGCATTGATGACCATTGCCCTCGGGGCATCCCTTGCGGTGATGGCTGGATCCAGATCATGCAGAAAGCTTTCAGGAAGCGTGCCAGACTAAGACGCGCTTGTTGAATTGAACGCGCACATGATTGCTAGCTAGCACGTTGTTCATTAACACTGTGATCCGAGCAAATTGCAAAGGTGCTTTGGAGCAAAGCCTGGAGCAGAATTCATATATCGATGTTGGTGCGACCTCCCTATGTCAGATGCAGTGCATGCACATCATATCATGTTTTGGTCTCAAGATCTTAATCATATTTTAATACCGAACGTTTATTGCATTGCTTGCAGCACATTGATTGCCAATTTTGTCAGGGCTCTGCTCAGAAAATGTTCCAGCAGTTCGGTCAAGTGGTCGCATGGTGGAATCCAGCACTTGGCAGGCATTCACTCGGTGGGAATCAGGATGATCATCATCATTCCAGGTGTTTTCTATTGTCATGGTTCTTGCATCGGTTCTTGAATCCTTTGCACCTTCTTTTTGCCATGGCTGGTCCCAAAGATCACTGCACAGCCCGCGTGGAGCTTGTGAAGGCTTCCGGCAATCCGTTCTACACTGCGTTGTGACTCATGCATTTATTGGATAGTCACTGTCCCCTCTACTGCGTGTATCAGGCCTTTTTGATGGATCTATTGGAGGATGATGACTTTTTGGATAAGCGGCGGAAGCTGCTTCGGCAACGGGCAGGGTTATCTTCTAAACAAACGAAGGAAGCCTTTGCCTCAGAAATGCGTGCATTTTTTCCAATGTTGTATAGCTGACAGACTCAGTGAGAAAAATCTATATAGGAACAATGAAATTTATAGACGATAAGCATCAATCAGTTGAGATCTCCTAGCTAGAATTGTGTGTTGATTGCATTGAGCAATTCCTGTGCAGTTGCTATTAAGATTTGCTACTGAGATGTCACGCGTGCGTGCATGCATCCATGAGATGTGCGTGTTGTACTGATCATCAAATCAACATGTTGAATGCATTTTGCAGACCGCCCTGACACATGGTAGTAGTGGCATGCTTTTCCAAAGTTGAGATCTACTCTTGTTCTTGGCTAAGGTGCCCAAATGGAATTTCATCATCGTGGACAAGCCCCATGTGGGAGCTCGCGAGGCCAGTTCTGCTGCGTTGACTTGCAATGCGAGATGGCAACTTTAAATTTGTATTGTCCCAATATGTCCCAATGTGTTATCCTTTTCTGACGTGGACCTATCCTTGTCAATGTCTGTTGTTGACATTTGTGCTTGTAAGAAGGTTGAGAACGACCTGAACTATCCCTTCCTTCTGGACTACCTCGCCTCGTTTGCTCATGACCCACCAAAGCCTTTGGAGCTGAAGGTGGGCATTTGCATTTGTTGGAGTGAGTCACATTCAAATGGTTTTTTGGGGCCCCGGTCAAATCTCGTAAATCTTATTCGAGTTGCGCTTAAATGTGGTTCCAGCTTTTCAAGTGCAGCATAGTGCAGCATGCATGCAGGAAGCGCTAGCATGGTGCAGCGTCACCTACAAGTTGAACCCATTCAAGGAGAGAGAACTTCATGAGGCCTTGCCTGCGGACCATTGACAGAAATTATTTTGACCATCGATCTTTGACAGAAATCCCACCTGCAGCAAACAAGTACCTTTGGCATGCATGCACTCGACAAGTCGTTTAAGAATCCTAGCATGCAAGTCAATCAGGCCTGGGCTGAGACAGAAGGCGGCATCATCCGTGGCTGCATCGCATACATTTTTTCAAAGGTTCCAAAGAAATCAAGAGTCCAGGCCGGTTGGGAAACCTGGCTTCTTAAGTTTTTGAACATAATGCACGTCCAATCAGGATCATTTTTAATTGGTCGTCGACTCCGAGGGAAAACAAAAACGAGTACAGTACTGCGAGTTAATGAATACCTATGGGGCATACACGCTGGAAATAAACTTGGCAATTAGGAAACACAACTCCTTCCCATTTATCAGCTGCGTTTGTTCATGCGATCTGGGACACCGGAAGATTACATGAGCTCATGAGCGCTTGTAATTCAAACAGCATCCAAAAGCGGACACCAAGCTTGATCTTTTTAACACCGAGTAATGCCAGGAAAGGCCATACCAAGATGGAGACCTTGAAGTCGCTGATTCGCTCCAAGCTGATGGACTGCTTGGCGTGAGTTCTGCCATGCATGACTTCTAAGTACTGGGTTTTCACTGATTGGTTTGAATTGTTCCAGGATAATGTTTGCAAGCAGCCCAAGTGCAAAAGCAACAATCGATTGACCATTGCATTCTAATAGGGTCCATCAGAATATTTTGCACGGGTGGTGCAATCTGGATAGAGACCCAGTTTTGACTTTGAAGGATTGTGTAAAACAAATATTTCAGCGGAGATGACATTGCCTCGCAACTATATATCAACCCGAATAGGTCCAATGCACCCCTGCTCCAATCCGCCCCGTCTGCTCACAGCTGGCACCAGGAGTATGGAAAGCTGTCACCTGATGGACGGAAGACACCGACTCGGGGACGTGGCGCTGCCAGGTTGAAGCAAGAGCAGGTGGGAGAGTGGGGGGTCACTTTTCTATCGATATTGGTTTTGATCTATTGACCTCAAACTTTCCACAATCAATGCATATGAGACATGCGAAGGATGTATATTATATATTGTAACGATATCTATAATGAAGTCCAGCAAATGCATGCAAGCTTCCATCATCCAAGTGCTGCATTTGTGTTATGTGTGTTAATCGCTAATATCCCATACAAATCGGTTGGTTGGTTGGATCAATGCATGCGAGGAGGCCAAGCATGCCGTGAACATGGACAATGTGGAGACGCAACCTCTGCTGTCACCGATCTCAAAACTGCAGCTGCCTTCCCCAGGTGCTACGGGATCTTTGGAGGTGGCAATGGGTGAGTCTGATTCGTCAGGTATGGAAGAAGAGTCTCCAGAAGAAGAAGACACAATAACACATGATGAGTGCATCGAACCAGTCGAATGCCATAAGCCTGAAATCTTCGTCATTGACTCGGATGAAGACTGCATGTTGTCACCCAAAAAGCAGTTCGTGCCTCCACCTGATCTCCATCCCGATGAGTCTGCACCTCCGGTTGCGGATGTGATGGTAACTGGGGGGAGAGGAAATGATGAACGAGAGCCAGGCCCAGTTCGAGGGTGGTTTCGAGGACATCCAATCAGAGGCCAAAGTTGAAAACATATGCGACTCTGATGAAGAGAAGAAAGGTGTGTTCAAGGACTGGTTTTGGGGAGAGGTTCCGTATCGATGAGTCCAGGGCAACCTTCAGAGCTTTTTTTTATAGAGTAGTGCATTGTTCGATCATGTCATGCATGCATAATATGGCATGCATTAATGGAAACTAAAATATATGGGAAACCTGCTTATAAAATGCAGGACCGCCAGCCTTTGGCAGCAGCAGTGGAGATCCCTCAATCCCTACAAGACCAAGCGAATGAGCAACTGAAGCTGTTGGATGGTGATCCTGTTGATGAAGAGCTTCAAGCTGAAATGGTGAAAGTCTGGGGCTCAGTGGGTTCTGATTCCGTTGCATTGTGGTTCTAGAATGATCATCTGAAAGATGCAATAGACTTCAAAATTGGTTTTGCTACGTATAATACTGGTACCCTGTCTGACATATAAATGTTTACAGTTATAAATTTCAATATTATTGATGGGGATCAGGATGGGAATCAATCCTGTTGGTGGTTTAGTTCTGTTATCTTTTACAGCTCTGCACACACAGAACGCTCTCCACCCTCGTCCCTGCTCCACCCCGGCCGGCTCTTGAGGCGCAATTGGCCATCAGGCAGATGTGCAAGGAGGCAGCTGGAGCCGCAGATGATCCTGACAAGGAACTTCGGGAAGCTCTTGACGAGGAGGAAGATGCGCAGGCAAAAGCTGACAAACGAGGTCGGGGAAAGGGACGTGGAAGGGGACGTGGTCGAGGTCGGGGAAAGAAAGCTCAAGAAGAGGCAAGGGCGACCAATGAAGAGAAGGTTGAACCGGTCTCTAGCAAAGAAGCTTCCAAACCCAAAGGCCGTTCGAAGAAGAGGGGGCATGCAGACTTAGTACAAGAGTCAGTTCCTCCACCTGGGCCTGCTAACAACCTGTCAGACCAAGCTGCTTCACAGTCAGCAGGCACAACAGGTGGTGAGTTGGCCAAGAGTTCCCCAAAAGCTAAGCTGAGAAGGACTGCCACCCGAACTCGGCACAAGAACCTCGCCAAGCTGCGATCTATGTCCCGCAGCCCTGCCTCCAAGAAGATCCGGAAGCAGGCTGAGCAGGTAAGTCCTGCCAAGGCTGCCAAGGCTGTCGTGGACGGTGGAGAAAATGCAGATGGGGGGGGAGACAGCCGATCCAGCCATCGTTGCAAAGTCTGATTCCGATGTGAAAGACAAAGAAGCTCATCGTGAATCTGAAGAACAGCCTCCCGAACCCGTTGTCAAGGGTAAAGATAAGGAGTTGGATGAAGAAAAGATCGCCAAAAAAAAAGGCTTTGAAGGAGCCTAGCTTGGTCCGTG